TTTTAAGTCAAAACTGCTGACCACAGCACCACCATGACCTCTAACGTCAAAGGTGAAGCAGCCAGTCTGGATCACCTGCACTGAGCAGCACTGAGACTAAGTGATGAGAATGGGGGGAATCATGAGAAGCAACATGTCAACAATTGCCCTGACACTGATGAGGCTCAGCAGAGATAAAATTACAGACATGACTGTGGATAGAGCCACTGAGTGTTAGCAGCTGTTCCTTCAGGGTGATGATGTACAGGTCCATTAGGTCTGCTCCAGAGAATGTGTTCTGTACATTAAAGCACCAGGACAACAAGATCAACAAACAGTAAAGAAGTTAGGGGTTCATCTCAGGCCTTACAGAGTCAGCTGGGTTCACACCGTCACAGTGCAGTCAAATCTCCGTGAAGTGTCAGGTTGACCCCCCCCCCCCCCCCAAATAAAATAATAAATAAATAACTATAACAAGTAAATAAATAAATAACAACAACTGTCACAACAATAACTCACAAAAGAAACTCATGATAAATAACAGAGAGTGAATAAAATAACATTTCTTGGAGTCAATTGACAGCAAATTATCCTGAAAGCCAGATATACAGTACATTACAGCAAAAATAGCAAAGTCAATTGCAATACTACATAAAATCAAATATCTTCTAAACCAGTCATCGCTATACGGCTTGTACTGTTCATTCATTCTCCCATACATCACCTACTGTGTGGAAGTGTGGGGGAACACATACAAAACAAACACGGAAACAATATACAAACTCCAAAAAAGAGCAATCAAAATATTAAATAAAAGCACCTACAGAGAACCATCAAACCCACTCTTCATCAAACTGAAGGCACTAAAGTTAAAGGATTTGGTCGACCTCAAAACAATTCAGATCATGTACAAAGCAAATCAGAATCAGTTACCACAGGGCATTTAAAAGTTCTTTCAAATAAGAGAAAACGAACGTAATCTAGGGGAATATGCATTTTTAAAAAACAACCTGTACGTACCAACACAAAAATGCACTGTATAAACTAAACAATAATAATACCAATAATAACATAAATAAAATAAATCTTCTCTGTCTGTTCATTATTCGATGAAAAAACAGTGTTTCAGTGACTGCCTATGCTGTGGTACATCAGCTGTACAGAAAAATCAGGAAGGCAGAAGTTTGTATATTGGCAGAAGTTTGTATATTGTTTGACAGGGATGCAGAGATGAACACTTGATCCTTAGGCCCTCAAGCAGCACTTCCACACAGTAGGTGATGTATGGGAGAATGAATGAACAGTACAAGCCGTATAGCGATGACTGGTTTAGAAGATATTTGATTTTATGTATTAGAAATGACTCCCCTGGACCTGAGCCCATGTAAGGTTGACTCAGAGGAAGTGAAAAACCTTCCTGAAGGTCTGATGAATCAAAATCTGACATTCTACTTGGAAACCATGCATCCTATGCCCTCAATACTAAAGAGGAGAGAAACCAACCAGTCCAAATCCAGCATCCCTGATGGTTTAAGGATCATCAGAGTCCATGTCATGGGTATCTTCCACATCTATGAAGGCTCCATTAATGCTGAACAATATCTACAGGTTATATGAGCAACATCTGCTGACATCCAGACAAAGACTTTTTCAGAGAAGACCTTCATATTTCAGGAGGACAATTACCAACCACATTCTGACAATAGGGACTACAACAGCATGGATCTGTAGGAGAAGAGTCCTGCTGAGAAACTGGTCTGATACAGTCCTGACTTGTCCCCCACTGAAAACATTTGGAGCATTAAAGGAGACCCTGAAGTGTTGAACAGCAGGTCTCCTTAACATTTCGTCAATTATGCTGTATGTATATATTTATGCAGGCTTGTAACGCTCCTGTTTATTCAGTGAATACACACTAAACGACTACTCTTCTGACTCTAACTGTGTCTAAAAGTGTGCCACTGCTTGTGAGGACAGTTTGAAACCTGAAAAGAAAAGTTTTTTCAACTAACTTGGAGCGTTATTTGCTACTTTTACTTTCAAACAGGATGGAAACTGCTAGTTACTGTACAGTGTGTTAGTGTGGAGCATGTGGGTGGCAGGTTGTGTGTTTTACAGTGTTCTGACAGGAGGAAACTTCTCAGTTGGTAAGTGCTTCAATTTCAGCACTTTTAAAGCATCCTGAGCGCTCAGCGGGGTGGGGTGGGGGGTGGGGGGCCAATTTCTCCAATAAAACCAAACAAAAGCAGCTTCAGTGGATGCTACCGTGCACACACAGAAGTTTGAACACTTTAATCCCAACAGATCACTGCGTTTAAGCAGACTCTCTTTTCTTTTTTGGCCAGCTTTAAACATTAAAAAAGCAAAAAGAAAATAGTAAAAGGTCTCTTAACAAACCTCAAGAGTAAGATAATGAAGAGGTTTAATGTTGGGCCACACTCAGCTGCCTTCTCCATGAAGTGCGGGCCCTCCAGATGATGTTTTCACTCAGTTCTTCCTCACACAGAGTAAAATAAGAGAGCAGCTCTGACCACAGACATAAAGAGACTGAGACAGGACAGCCATGAGGCCAAAGAGTGGCTTTAATTACACCTCAGCCTGTGGGGAGAAAACAATGGGTTACAACTCTGAATTTGAGACAAAAAAGAGGGTTAAGTTGAAGTTTGCTTTTTAAAGGATTATGCCACTGTTTTTTATCATGAATCTTTTACAACTGTTAAGAGTTAAATATTTCTGCAAAAACAAGCTAGGACCCTGGCACTTGAATTGGGAATATTTTGAGATGTTAAGCAGTTAGATCTTGATTCAGCACTCTTTTTCTCATCCCTCCTGTTGTAAGGGGATGGTGGCCTTTGAGGACAAAAAGATCCTGTGATGCATGATAAGTATGATCCCCTATTTCTCAAGATTTCAAGAAAAACAACATTTGATGCAAATTATTTTGTACTTAACGGTGACTCTCTACTTCTTCTCCTTTTTTTTGTTTCTTACTCAACACTAAAGTGCAGATGTCACAAGTTTGTCTGTTCTGTGCTACCGTAGAAATATGGTGGTGCAAGATGGCCGCTGCTGGCTGGCTGATTATGCAGCTTTCTATGTTATGAAAGCAGAGAGGACACCAACCGAGGCAGGAGATTTAGATCTTTGATAAGAAGATCGCATCCAGGCCTCTGAGTTTGAGAGATTTAGAGTTTAACTTAAAACTTTGAAGATATCAGAGAAGCTGTTTTTGTCAAACACACAAAAACATTTTAAAAACACACTAGATAAAAATAAATATCCTAAATCTTCCACAGCAGGGGCCTGTCCTACAAAGCAGGATTACTGCTTAGCGAGGTAACTTTGAGGGTAAGTTCGGGGTTTCCTGTTCTACGACGCAGGTTTACTTCTTAGCGAGGCGAGTCTCCATGGCAACGTACGAACGGCTAACCTGCTCGGGGGCAGGTTAAGTTCCAGATTGAACTCACAGAGTATAAAAACCCCGCCCACTGACCAGTGAGCTCTCTCGAAAAATGGCTTGTCCGTTCTTGGAGGATCCTATAGACCTCAGTGCTCGCATTGTCTGAGGAGCACTCCGGCGCGCAAGTTTTCAGGGACTGCACGGACCCACTTCCTTTTCCAGATGACCACCTTTATGAAAGGCTCATATGACGCTCCAAACTGGTCTATGTTCGCGATCGGTCATATGTGGGCATGGGCTGCAGAGGCTGCGTGATCACAGACAACATCTCGGTACTATTTAGTAGCAGCGCACGCCCCTTGTAATAACCCCGTAAAAACTGTTGTTCAGGACTGCTTACTTGTGCTTCCTACCTACTGTAATAACCGTTGTTCTTGCTTACATGCAACATTTTTGTTCTCATTCATGAAACGCTTAAATCAGGGACATTTTCGGGGACAGCTTTAGCCGGGGATAGGTCATCCAATTCGGGGACTGTCCCTGGAAATCAGGGACGTCTGGTCACCTTAGTTAAAAGCGCATGTTGAACAGTGCTATTTCAGGGTGATAATGGCATCAAAGATTATTTTACTGCCAGCATTCCCTCCGTGCTTTTGCAGCGGTGACGGTGTTGCTTTTGAGGTTTATGATAGATTTGAATTCTTCATACTTTCTCATGATCGTCTCCTGCTCCTCGTTTGTAAAGTCTGCGGTCCTTCGCTCTCTGGCCAGCTCTGACGCTCCAAACTGGTCTATGTTCGCGATTGGTCATACGTGGCGGGCTCCGCCTTACATGCGTGCACGCGCTCATAGCAAAGCTGGATCAACTTACGAGGTTGATAACCAGCATCGTAAGACCGTTTAGCGAGACCGCTGGCAACCGCGCTACGTTGAGCGAGGTACCTCCAAGGCTACCTCACTAGGTTGAACTTGCTTCGTAGAACAGGCCACAGGTGTCATGTGCTGTATAAGAGCAATTACGTTGTAAATAAAGCCTCCATAGGGCTCTACATTAGCTACATTTTATAAAACCTCTGCATGTTTGGCCACCTGAGTTTGGTCTGAGAGCCGACATCCCCCCCAAAAGGTCAAATTTAGTCTTTCAAATCTGTGTCTCAGTTCTTCCTGGATGTTGAACCAAACTTCTCACTTTGGGCGAACACTTCAATTTGTCGGTCTTAATAAAGCATTCATCGCTTGTTTCACCTGTTTGTGCAGCTGAAAATTTCTACTGAGGCATTTCAGATGCACAAACAAAAAGCTGTCAGTGTGACAGAAATCGCTTCTTTTTTTGCAGGTTGCAAAAGTTTAGACTTATATCACCTTTTCAGTTGGCAAAGAATGAATGTCACGCTGAATGAGTCAACGGGTACATCCAAAACCACTTTGAGGCTTACAAAACCTCCAACCCCTCCTCCTCCTCCTCTTTCTCCACTCCCCCTCTCTTTGCAGTTAGAGCAGCTGAAACTGTAGACTTGAAACACTTCAGGGGAACTCCTCAGATTAGCAGCTTTGAGCTGGAGGGAGAAAAAAAGTTTCTGTTTTTTTTTTAGATTTTAGAAAAGATAATTTATTACTCGTCATGAAGGAGTTCTCCCTTGACACCTTACTGCTGTCTTTTGCACACTTATGTTTCCTCTGTAGTTTCCTGCACAGAGCTCACGCTCAGGAGGCTGCAGGTAATGAGGATGCGCTCCGCCGGGGGTTGACATGGCAACATAACGGACAGGTTTTCAGCATCCTTAGCCGCGGCGCTCAGTACCGTCCGTCCTTGAGGAGGCGGGTGGGGTTACCACGCCGCAGTAGCCCTGTGGTGGTTGTCAGCAGCAGTAACAGCACGGTCCCTGTAGCATCCCAGAGCTCCCCGAGGGTCCCTGCATCCAGCAGCACTGCGCAATTGCGCGCCATGACGCGCCAACAGAACCAGCCTCAGCAGCAGGTGTCCGGCAACAACGCAGACTCTGCCCCGGGAAGACGAGAGGACACGATGGCCGGAGATGATCCATACAACCCTTACAAAGCGTCCAACTATTACCCCTACTACAACTACTACAACTCCTACTACAGACCCAGACCCAGGGCTCACCACAGGCACGGATATGGAACCAGCTATCACCACCAGCACGGTACAAAAGTGTCATTTTTTATTGTTTTTAAACCATTTCCACATCAGTTTTTCATAAGTGAATTTGACTGTCAGAAGTCAGCAGAATGTGATTTCTTCTGTCAGGAGACCCTGTACAAGCTAATGGAGGACGAGATGAGTGGAGTGGTGGAGTAGGAAAAAAAAATTCTTTAAGGCACAGTTTACAGGCTAATTATCCCGCAGCTCAGCCCTTCAGTAATCTCTCTGATGCTCATATAAAGAAAGACAGATGTGTCCGTTTTTACATGCCTGCCATTAAATTTAAACCTAATTTCATAAGGATTTTGATTATAGAGCTGAAAGTTTTAAGCACCTCCCTGTTACAGCCCACCATGAGCAACATGGAAGAGTCACCATGCTGAGCAATAGGGTATTAGCTGGATCCACAAAAGGATCAAAGCTGATCAGCTGTAAATTTTGTTATCAAGGTTGAAGAGGTTTTGTGTCCTGTTTGAGTTGACTAGCAGGAATATTTGCTCTTCACGCAGGGGTGAGTCCAGAAGGTGCCCTGAGCCCCCTGTGAAGTGTAACTGGCCACCCTAAAATACTTGACAGCTGATGCAGACTTTGCCTCAGATCAGCTGTGCCACTGGCTCTGTTTTGTGTTCCTGTCTTGTTTGCAGGTCTCCCTGATCTGGTTCCTGATCCGTATTACATTCAGATTGCCACTTACGTCCAGAGGATGCCCATGTACAATCTCCGCTGTGCGGCTGAGGAGAACTGCCTTGCCTCGTAAGCCCAAAACCTTTCTGTTTAAACTTTGTATTTGATTAAGATCAGTGCAGAGACAAATGTTCTTACACCCTTCCCTTATGTCCTCCTTCCTCCTTCAGTTCATCTGCCTACTCTCAAGACTATGACACCCGAGTTTTGTTGAGGTTTCCTCAAAGGGTGAAGAACCAGGGAACAGCCGACTTCCTGCCCTCTAAACCACGATACTCCTGGGAGTGGCACAGCTGTCATAAGTAGGAGGATTCTGGCTTTTAGCATCAGTACTTTAACTTTATATTACATGACTGTTTGTTTATTGAGCGTCTCCTCAAAGGTTGTCTGTTGTCACTCAGTCACTATCACAGCATGGATGAGTTCAGCCTGTACGAGCTGCTGGATGCCAGCACTCAGAGGCAGGTCGCTGAGGGACACAAAGCCAGCTTCTGCCTAGAGGACACATCTTGTGACCCGGGATACTACCGCCGCTTCGCCTGCACCTCACACACTCAGGTACAAACTGGATACTGAATAAATCACAGACAAAGCCAGTCCTGGTGTCTCTCAGTGACTACAGAAATGAAGCCTTCGGTTTGGCATGTTGGTCTTCTTCAAAGCCAAAAGGGACCAAATTTGGACTAAAGAAAGATTCTGGAGAGGAAGGGTTTACAAAAGCCAGACGATAAAAGCTAAGCAGTCTTTGACCAAGAGGCTGATCCAATAACTGGGACTGAGCTCCTTAACTATCACTGTTTCCACAGGTGACACACGGGGCTCTATTTCTGTGTCGACAGAATCAGCTGGTGCAGTGACATTTTCGTGCTCGCCGGTGGCGTATAAAGTGCGCTCAAAGCTCGCCGATTCAAACCCGGTCAGCTTTCAGCGCAGGCGGCGCGCAGCTGGTCTAGTGGTATTTTAGCGGCTGCGTATCGGCATATGTCACCGATGCCACCTAGATATGTCACCTAGATATGTAATTCATCTCCCTCCTTTTCTTTCTCCCTTTTCCTCTTATTTCTCGCGCAGCTCGACATGGACATGTCTCCATGTCCTCTCCCCGTCCTGCTGCAGCTGCTGCTGCGGTGGCTGAACAGATGATATGTTTCAGTGATCACCCTCCGCTACATCTCCGGCAAGCACGAAAATAGAGCCCATGGTTTATGGTTGTAGCTGATCAGTTGTGTTGATTACAGAAGTTATGAAAATGTTTAAAACTTATGAAACTTGAATGTTACTTACTCCCCAAAGGTCAGAGAGTTTGGTGATATAGTTGGGTTTATACCACAGACAGGGTGTCTCCTTGTCACTAAAGCTTGCCCTCTCCAGGTAAAAGCCAAAACCAACCCTAACTTCCAGGCACAGGCCTCCAAATATTAAAAAACAAAACAAAACTAAACAACGTCATGCTTACAAACTAACCTGGCTCCACCTGAAAGGTTGATATCCCGTATTACCAAAAATTTAAGATGTTTCCTTTTTCCATCTACTTACGCTGTTCTGTTTAAAATATCAGCTCTAAAAACAGAACTGTATAACGTAGACTGACAACTCTGTGTGTGTGTGTGTGTGTGTGTGTGTGTGTGTTTCTATGTTGTGCAGGGTTTGAGTCCAGGTTGTTACGACACTTACAGCGCCGACATCGATTGTCAGTGGATTGACATCACTGATGTCTCTCCTGGAAAATACATCCTTAAGGTCTGGAACTGCTTTTCTTCTCTGACTTCTTCTAATGCTGCTTTAATAACTGTTGTATTAAGACAGAATCATGCCTGAGCATATGATCATTTACTGACCATCAGTGTGGTTTGCTTTAGGACCTTGCTTTGTGCCCTCCAACACTCCCCAGTTGTTCTAATACTGAGTGTATAATCCCTCCCTGTCCGGTGATATTGCCTGATCCTGTTGTGTTGTCCTGATAGGTGACAGTAAACCCCCGGCAGCAGGTCCCAGAGTCAAACTTTAACAACAATGTGGCCCGTTGTGACGTCCAGTACACCGGCACTGCCGCCCATATCTCTGGATGCACCATGACATCGTAAGAAACACTTTCACTTGTTATAATTGAATGTAAATGTGGATGAAAATCTCCCCCTATTAGATAAAAAAAGAGGAGAGCACATCACCCTGAAGGTCCGCTAAAGGTGAGAGTATGTGTCTTGAGTGTATAAATCATGAGTAACTCCTTACCTTGTTTGTACAGGATTATCATTTGTGTAAACTAAAGAGTAGCTTAATAACGAACATTGGTGAATAATGACTGTTGTGCCCATTATTATTGTGCATTATTGGTGCATTCACACAAATGTGAATCTGTTGGACTTTTGGGGCTCCTTAAAGACCAGATTTTTCATGTCTTCCCTGATATCAAATCCATGTGCAGAACCCTTTAGCTCTGTAATGATCAGTGTCTTATTCAGTGGATGTTTTTTTTCTTTTCTGTCTTTGCAGCTACTGAGATCAACATAAACATGAACAAGAACAGTGGACATGGACTTAGCTTTGGAAGAATGAAACTTTAAGTTAGAAAAGACTGAAGTAACTCAGTTTAAGTTAAAATTATGAAACTCATTAGAGGACTTTAAATGTTAAGTTTAAATGTTAAGTTATGTTTTAGGCTTGATTTGGGTTGCACCATCTTTTTGTGACTCCATGATTGAAACCATTTATTAAACTCTTAAAGCATCTTGTTGAAATCATGTGAATATCTGTTTCTCATGATTAAACTGAGGTGAGTTTTGTAAGGTAAGAAAATTAATTTTTTCAGCTTTTTGGAAGAAACGAGAAGAAACGAGAAGAAATTGTGCTGAATGAAAACCTCTGAGTATAAAGTGTCTCTTCATCATCAGTGTTAGAGGAAGTTACCAAGAGGTGGTGTAATTCAATCCTGCTGTGTTAGTGTTTATGTCTTTTTAAGAATTTTGCACATTTATTACTTTATATAAATGTTGGAGCTCACTGAAGAGTCCTTGTTCTGGACTTTTTATCAAGCTTTTTTTTTTGTGTGTGTGTGTGTGTGTTTTTTTTTGTTATGTCAAAGAATCTTTATGATCATGACACGGGTTTATGTGTTCATATAAATATCACCACTATGTTGATAATACGATATTTAATTCAGATATCTGATGTTTCTGTATTTTCTGAGAAATAATTTCAATTCTGCTCACAGAAAATTCAAGTTGATATCTGGTTGTAGCACACATACGCAGAAAAGTTCTCACAGTTTTTCAGACCTCTTCTGTAACAACGTGTTAGAGAAGTTTTAGGAACATGCTAAGCCGCTGAACTGTGTGACGCTGACAGCTGTAAGGGCAGCAGTTGTGTTTGTTTTCTCATCTCTTTTGTGATTAGCTGAACCAAAACTTTCACTTTGGCTCCAACACATTATTTTGAATTTTCTGCTAATAACAAAGTTTCAGTTGCTCTCCACCAGTTCCCTCAGCGGTGTTAATAATCTAAAAAAATAAAAATGCCTGAATATAGAAAGCAACAACTCACTTGAGTGTGGGATAGCACTACTAAATGATAGGATTAACTGTTACTGTTATGATCTATTTTATAAGTCAAAATGTAGTAAGGTGAGATCTAGAAGTCATCTCAAATGTCTTGTAATACGACAGCAGAAGATCTACAACAACCTGAGAAACAGGTTGCACATGCAGAAATAGCACATCTCCTAAAATGTATGCAAAAGTGCTGCAATGAAAAAACGTTGATGCATGATCAAATAATATCCTGCAAAGACAGAAATAATATCAAGAAAAAGCAGCTGCAAATAAATCCATCCACAGCTTCTTGCAGCATGTTTTGTTTCGTTTGCAGCACGGTTGCATTTGTTTCAGACTTGGCGTGTGTTTTTAAAGTTGTGTCGTTCTAGTGTTTGCAGCCTGTTTCCCTGAATAAAGATTGTTTGCATCACAGGCCATCTGCCCTCGTCAGCTATATTACCACACTTTCATCAAGAAACTTCAATATGACTTTGTCCCGTTTGTACGTAACAAAACATGGGACACACCCTTAAATTCAGTGCAACATCGCCACAGTCTGATGCTTACTAGGTGAGGACACGTTAGACACAGAACTGACACGATCCAAAAACAAATATTGGCAAAACAATGACATTTTAATGACCAATAATGGTGATGCATGGAAAGTGCAATCATACCACTGCTGCATATGAAAATGTCAACAGTGTTCACACAGTTTTAGTGATCACCTCAGGCAGTTTCAGGGACCCAGAAGAAAACTGCACAACATTAGTTTAGCAAAGTTTTATTTTATCAGAGTTTTTTTTTTTCTGCTCATTTTTGGTGCTGTAGATGGATTCTTGATTTTTGGTGCTGAAATGATCTGAAATTAATTTTGCATTGTGTCCCAAAGTGAAAAGGAGACCTGTTGTAACAATTCTCAGTATGTGTAGTCATTTTATTACATCAGCCTGTGCAAAGCAGACCCCTATATATCTCATACTGGCATCTGTGAAAACCCTCATTTCTGACACACTTCTCTTGAGAAAGTTAGACACAGCATGTGGGTGCTACTTTTTACACAGCTTTGGAGTCACAAAGCAAACTCAAAGTATACCTGTTCAGAGACCATCAGCACCCATGCTAGCCCCTCAGTATACATTAACAATTTTACCTTTAGCTGGTAGAAAGAGGCGGGAGGAAGTTTAAAAGAGTTGCTGATTGGGTGTGTCCTTTAACTTTGTCTTTATGGGACAGCAGAGCCAGATGTCAGGTCTCATCAAGATCTCAAAACAGGCCGGAAAACACGCCCGATGACCACACATATAAATCTGTATGTAATTCTGAAACTTTGCAGGTTTAGTTTGGATATCAAACATTTCTTTATGTATTAACTCACAGATCAGAATATCAGGTCTCCTTTGACCAAACGACATATCACAGGGACACTTAGTCAAATGTTGGTGCTTTAAGATGAACTTGTGTGTTTCTGTTGTTGATGCTGTGTAGAGTGTGTAAACACAGTGTGTACTTTTACTTGACGAACTGTAACCACACGTAACTGCAAAGCTGTATATGAACAAGCTCACATATCCTGATTTCATATCACATGCATAAAGTCTGCTTGAACCTGGCCTGATGTGTCATGTGTCACTTTTAGAAAATGTCTTTTTTTTTTTTTTGGTCTGATTTTCTGACTGAGTGGAAAACACAAACATTACTTCTTTAAGCAGTTGCATGATTGTAGTAGATCTCAAATATGTTCACTCAGTGTCAACTCAGAAACAGCTTTTGTTTCCAGCTTTGTGAAGACAGTAAACAGCTGATCAAAGTATGGGTGGGATAGTTGAGCAGAGTAATTAAGTTTAACGTGTAATTATCAGGTCATGTCAGATCAGATCTCTGGAGGTTCGCTTTACTGAGCAAACATCAGCCCTCATAAATGCCCACAGTGCTGGTGGATGTTTGCTGACTGCTGACATTGAAGACACGGCCAGTATTTAAACTACTAAGGATGTCTGACTTGACAGTATTATTTGGTTTTTTTCCATAGTGATCACACAATAAGTTAAAGTTTCTGTCGATTTAACTTCATATTTGCATCTATACTGACAAATTTGCTGTCTTTTTGGTTAGAGGAGCAAAGTCTAAGACAGATGTCTGCTAAAGGTTTGATATTCGCTCTTTTGTTCCTGACAGTATCAGTTGAATTCTTCCTCCTGATTTTATTAAAGATTAAACTTTAAAAATCTCCACTATGAACCTGCTGACTGTCTCTCTGTTAGTGTGTGTTGTGATGGCTCAGACTCCAGCTTTAGGAGAGTGTATACTGGGTGTGGTTGAAGTAATTCATTGGGCCGCTGATCGAGCAACATTTGTTTGACTTTGGTCTAAATGCATCTGTTTTTTAATTATTTTTTTTTAATAGAATTTTATTTCAACATGAACAATATTTAAACATAGTATAAACTAAAGACATAAACACAAACAACATAAAAAAAAAGAAAGAGAACAAAAAGAGACTCAAGTAATTTTGTCATTTGCATGATCATAATGGAGTAGCAGGAAGTCGAAACTTATCTAGTCCCACCCCGTCACCTTGCAAGAATCATCAATACTTAATTTACTTGCTTCCAGTTAATAATAATAACAAAAATCATAATAATCACAACATAAACAAAACAACCAAATAATATAAAAGGAATAAAAGGAACAGAAGAAACTATGTCAACATTCGGTGATATTCATTCACTTGCATCTTCGTACCTTTCAAAGATCATATTTTCAATACTTTTTTTAAACTGCTGTATGTTTGGACATTGTTTCAATTCATCACTCATGGTTACAAAGTTTCACGCTATAAACAGGTACACAAAGGCCTTTTCTTGTAGTTTTTACTTTTACGTTTTCAAAATAAAACAATCCCCTCAAATTATATTTTCCCTCTCTCTGACTGAACATGCCCTGAATATTTTCCTGGTAGTTGATTATTCTTGGCTTTGACCATGATTGGTGCTGTTTGATGTTCTACTTGGTCAGTGAACTGTAACAGTTTTGATTATAGAATAAATGAATGTGTGAGATCCATATAACATACTCTGTTTATTACCCTAACTGCTCTTTTTTAAAGGATGAATAGTGATTGTAGAGAGCTCTTAAAGTGTTGCCCCAAACTTCAGCACGGTCGGTTAAATATGGTGAAACTTGAGCTGCACAGAATGTGAAGTGAGTTATTATCTCAAACCTGTTTCATTTGGTTAGTACTGCAATTGATTTTGAGCATAGACTGTATATAAGATGGACAGAGTCTGCCTCCTCGCTAGGTGAAGCCACTCCGAGAACAGCACCCTCTGATGGTGGGCTGCAGTACAGGTCATAAATCCCGCCTCCGCCAGCAAAGCTTATGGGACTGTGGACAAACTTTAGAAATTTATTACACAGAACATAATTTTTTCTCCCCCTTGCTTGTGATGTTGACATATAGTTACAGTAAGACTGGTTTGTGCCCAAGTCCTTTTTTTTCTGTACAGCTCCATTTTTAAAAGTTATTAGGTGGTTCATGTTTTCTATGATTGACACCTGGTACAGCCTATGGGCGTTCAGGGATTGCGTAGCTCTTCCGGGGGAATACGCTGTTTGACCCGAGCGTCATCACAAGGACTCTCGGTGACTGCGCGGCCGAATGCGCACAACGCTACTGCACAGCTCTGGTTTCAAGGAAGTGGAGAAAAACCCGGAATTACCGAGAGCTTTTTGGCTTCAAATCCGTATACAGGCGGAAGGCGGAACCACGGTGTCCATCTTATATACAGTCTATGATTTTGAGACTTTGGACTGTAGATGTTTTATGTGAGGTTTTTTTGATTCAGATTTTCATTAATTATTACTCCTAGAAATTTGATTTCCTGATTTTTTGGTTCCTTTTCCTTCTTTTGAGAGTAAACGGAACATTTGGTGTGATCTCTGTCCTTTTATGTCTTTTATGGTCCTTTTATCTCTTCTATTTTGAACGTTTTTTATGTTTCTTTAATATATACACTACAGGAATAAGTTTGGAAGCAAGGCCATTACAGGCCGAACAGTTGGGAGTAACTTCAAGTTTTTGTTCACAAATCTTTTTTTAAAATCCAGCATGAGTTTGATGTATTTTGGGATGTATTTACTCCATGATCAGATGTTGCTTTCATGGAAATGCACCACTTTACTTCATTTACCTTTAGATATACATTGATGTTAACAGACCATTGCTAAATATATGTCAGTAAAAGATAATAAGGGCTTAGTTGCAGGGTCGAAAACATTTGCAACTTCAGTGCAAAAGCAAAAAACAAATCACAGTTGGATTATTCACTTCAACTTTTTGGCTTTTGAGAGTCTGCATACAAAAATCCTAATAAATCTCAACTACATTCAAACTACCACAAAAATGGCTAGAAAGAAGCAACAGAGTAAAGAAACAAAAGTACAGATTTGTACATTGAGGAAAGAAGGATACACAGAAAGAGAAATTGCAAAACGCCTAAAGGTGTCTAACAAAGGAGTCCACTACACTCTGAGAGACTAGAGGAACCTGGAAGTTATGATGATAGAAAAAGATCTGGACGAAAGAGAGTAACTACAAAAGCAGAGGATAAACATATTATTGTCACCAGTAAGAGAGATCGGCAAAAGACAGCACCAAAAATACGGGAGGAAATCAACATGACAAGGTCGAAACCCATATCTCTGACAACCATGAAATGGCGTTTGAGAAAGGCTGGTCTGAAGGGTTGTGTATCTGCAAAAAAACACTACTTCGTCCACAGAACAAGAAAAAGATATATGAGTGGGCAAAAGCTCACAAAAATTGGACTTATGATGACTAGAAACAAGTTTGCACTGTTTGGTTCAAAACGCAGAGTCTAAGGGCTCTATTTTCGTGCCTCGCCGGAGATGTGGCGCAGGCGCGGCGTAAGTCAGGTCCACCGCTCTGACAAGGCGTTCCCAAGCACAGTTTGGTATTTTGGTGAGCGGCACAGCCCGGCGTGAGTATCCCCCCTCCCTAACTCAGCTCCTCCCAGTGGAGGAGAGAGGGCGTGGAGTGGGTTTAACACAGCCGAGACCTGTATTGACCAATAACATCAGCTCCTCTCCTTGCCTTTAAATCCGCGACCGGCGAGGCATATTACTATTTTCGTGAAGTAGTCAAAGAGATCAAGAGATGTCTGAAGACAGTAATGCCACACGATGGCGACAGAAGGCAGCCCCTCAACAAGAGTCGCTGTAAGCACTGCAGAAGGCGTCCTCCACACTGTCTCAAACAAGCACAGATGGATTTGGTGTGTGTAATGTTGGACCCACTAGTAAGACAAACACCCTTTTCCACAAATAAAGACACTCACATAAAGTTGCATATATTCAAACCTCACGTGACAAAGGTGGGTTGTGCGCACAGATCACAACATAAACTCCAAAAATGGCATTAAAATCGGAACCATCTGTGCGTAAATGACGCATCGCGCTCCGTGGCCTGGCTCTTTCTTTCATAGATGTTGGCATATAAAATAAATTTGGCTCACAAAACTGAATATTATAATATTCGTATGTAGGCTTAAAGTAAATAACTCATCTGAGCACTGAAACAAATCATCTGTTCAGCCGCCGCAGCAGCAGCTGCAGCAGGACGGGGAGAGGACACGGAGACATGTCCAGGTCGAGCTGCGCAAGAAATAAAAGAAAGAGGAAGAAAGAAAAGGAGGGAGACGAATTAACGAATGTCTTGTTAACTTCATCATGTGTATTTATTTACTAGATATTTAATTTAATTTCATGCGATTTCAGCTGTGTTGATTCGGTCAGGTTGTGTGTCCACCGCGTGCCAAACACGCTCATAAGATCAAATAAAGATCAGAATATATTGATATAGATCTAAATGTATGTGCTGACTCAGATTATATCCACCTGCACTGAAAGCTGACCAGGTTTGAATCGGCGAGCTTTGAGTTCACTTTATACGCCACCGGCAAGCACGAAAATGTCACTGCGCCAGCTGATTCTGTCGACACCTCCCTCTGCCTCACCACCACGCCCAGCTTGGCGGACCTCGGTGCGCCTCAGTCCACGAAAATACCAAACTGGCTGTATGCCGGGCTCCGCCAGATGAAAATACCACTGCGCGGGGTCCATCACCCTCCGCCGCTGCACCGGCGGACACGAAAATAGAGCCCTATGTTCCTATCTGAAAGCACCATGTGTTGCACCCACAATTCAGCATGGAGGTGGTAGTTCCATGGTATGGGGATGTTTTGCAGGTGATGGAGTAGGAGATTTGTTTGAAGTAAAGGGTATCATGAAGAAGGAGCAGTACCACTCCATCCTCCAGCACCATGCTGTTCCATCTGGACTCAGACTTGTGGCTCATAAGTTTGTTTTGCAGCAAGACAATGACCCTAAGCACTTTGCCAAGCTCTGTCAGGGTTACCTAGACAAAAAAGAAGAGGAAGGTGCTCTTCAAAAGATGGTTTGGCCCCCTCAGTCTCCAGACTTTTCTCCAATTGAGCTTGTGCGGAGAGAATTGGATCGATCAGTCATAAAAACGTGTTCCACGAATCAGCGTCTCTTTTTAATGAACTCAAGAGAGCTTGGAATGCAATCCCTGGAACATACCTTAAAAAACTTGTGGAACGAATGCCTGGTATATGCCAAGCTGTTGTTAAAGCCAGAGGAGGTTAGTTCAAAGAAAGCAAAGTCTAAGCAACAATAACTCAAATACCTAATAATTATAGTCAAAATGTCTTCTGATAAGTTACTCTTTACACAATAGTCATGTTTATTGTGTTGCAAATCATATATATGAAACTATGATCTTTTTTTGTACAAATCTGATCTTGCTTCCAAACTTTTACCCTGTAGTGTATATATATATATATATATATATATATATATATATATATATATATATATAGTATATATATATACATATGTGTGTGTGTGTGTGTGTATGTCCTCTTGATCTTTTTTTACTTCTGCATTGTTTGTTCTCTAGATTCTACTGCGCAGCTCTTGGGTAAACTTGAATGTTTTTTTTTTTTATGTGCTATATAAATAAAGCAGTTTGAATTGGATTTGATTAAGTTGATCAGGAAAAAGCAGCCTGTAATTTGGTCAAATACAAGACTGAAGGATGATGCATAAGAAGTTGAACTAGACAGCTCTGTGCTTCTGAAAATATGAACGAATGTAACTCTGGTTTGAGTGAAATTGGTTTGCCTCTGTGAACAATGAACCCGCTCAGTTTAAGGGTGAACTGACACAACACTGCAAATGACCCTTTTTGAGCTTTTAGAGCCTGAGCAGCAAACATTGAAATAACGAGTCGGTGGAAAGATACAAAACGAAAGAAGACCCACTGACAGTGTTCGTGGGTCCTACTACATAACCTCCCAGCTCCAGCTGAGGAGACCACAGGTGCTCCCAATAACTCCTGATTAACAAGGAAACCTTTGGTCTGGATCTGAACCTCCCTCTAAAACGGCCGCCATCTTGCACACTGTGGCGGTAACTCTGTGTTCGCTTTACTTTAACAGAGCTGATTTTATGTTATAGGTCTGAGTAAATGTTTGTGTCATTAAGCCAAAACACACAGAAGGCTCTTGACTCGACAGTAAAACTTAGTTTTATTGCAGCATGATTATGCGGCAGTAAAAACTTCCTTCTCACGGGAAGCTTCTGCAGAATCAGTCTCATCTCTGTAAATATCCGGCTGTGCTGTCACGCTAACTGGAGTGTATATAAGTATCAGGTTTGGTTTGGTTCAGCACCTCTTCACTGACAGGACCCTGGATCGATCTGCTGCAGGTTCGACATCACCACTGTTATCATCTTTCTCAGCATGATCAGTTGAAGTCGTCCTTCTCCAACTGAAGGTTTAGTAACGCCTTTGTCTTTGTTCATCAAAGGAAACCATCCTCACCTCAACATCTTCATCATGAACCTGCTGGCTGTTTCCCTGGTGATGTGCCTGATGATGTCTCTGACCTCAGTTAAAGGTGAGTGGACATAAAAACCCACCTTTACAAGGATACTAGACACTAAGTTCACCTGCTCTCAGCTGCATTTTTATCTTTGACGATTAGATTTCATCAAAAGTACAAAATGTTTTACTTCCTATGATCTTCAAACTACCCAGAGTTTCCTGTAATAAAGAGGCAGCCATAGATTTACAGAAACTCTCAGTTTACATTTGAGTGATATATCTGAACTCCACCCTCTCATCTGCTTCACTGTCCCTTCAGCTGAACCTGTTGGAGAAGAGCCTGAGATAGAGTTCTCTTTTGGTGGTGAGTTTGTACAGTTTTCATGACTTACTTGATGACTTGACTTGAGTCCTGTCTGCAAATGAATTTCAGGAAACACGACATTAAACACCAAACATAAGTCCATGACTATGACGGGAACATCCATGGAGGAAGGAAGTGAGCGTAATGCTTTATAAATGTAATGTTTAAAAAGAATTATACTATCATGCAAAAGAAAAAAAGTCTCTTTGAAACTCTGACTTCACCTAAACATTAGATTTATAAAGATCGGATTCTTTGCTTCTTTGCAAAAAAGGTTATAAAGCAGGATCTAAGGTGCTTTGAGCTGTTATTGATGCCCACGATAAAGCCTCACAGGGGCTTCATAACTGGCTTGAAGGAGAAGGAGGATGTGTTTGTAAATTACATATCATTTTAACCTATTGCAGAAGAGTAATTGTTGCTGTAAAAAGGACTTTTCTCTCTGCCTCTCTGTCTGCACAGATGTTTTAAATGACGGAGAAGCTCCAAAGATTGAAAATATCGGTTAGTTTGTTTTTATTATTTAAAATAGTTCCTGTTTACTAAATGAATTAAAAAGAATGAAACCGTCCACTATATGTTTGTTTGTCTGTCTCCTGCTCATGCAGAAGATCTGCTGATTCGGGGAGCCCAAGGTTGGTTTATTTTCTGTCTTAATCCCCAGATTGTACTTCATCACTTTGTTAACTGATTCTTGAAAATCAAACATTAGATAGAGTACATGATATAACCCTCCTTCCTATTTGTCCCCACAGCCCCTGAAAAATGACCCTGATAGGAAGATGACCTGACTGACTCCTAACAACCGCTAATGAGAAAGAAGACTCTGATTTCTTTTCAAAATGTCCTCATTTCCTTCTTCCCTCACAATCATATCACCACCAAAACTTTACTCCATCCCTCATGATTATCTCACCTTTCTATCTGACTCTGATGTGATTACCATGCTGCAATAGTTCACTTATTATTTACTCTTTTGACCCTGTCAATAAATGATCCTTCAATCAGCAACTTATCATGTGTGCATGTTCTTTCTAAATGTGGGTGTGAGTGTTAGAGAGCTGTCAATCATTTATTTAGCCACGCCTTCAAAACAGCAGCAGAGATCCAGAGGAAGCTGCAGCATGATGGAGTTTAGGGACTCCAGAAAAGACTGTTTTAATTACTCTAACGGGAAAGTTTGTCACATTATGAGACTAATCAGCTCTACAAATCTACAAATGTGAGATTTCAAGGATCAGCCAACAGCATTTTAAAGTCTCTAAACTCAGGAAGAAGAGAAGGTTAGGGACTGGTCTGGGGTTGAAGCCTGTCCAGTTTTCTAAACTGTCTGGCAGAGTTCTCCTCACAGCTGTAACACACAGTACAACACAGGTATAGTTTTTGATGAACATCAGCTTTAGATTTTACAAACACTCAGAGCATCATTCTGTTTCCATGCTGAAATGATTTAATGTGTATTCAGCAACACGACCAGTTTAATCTGCTGGGGAGACATCGGCCTGTGTGGGAGTTTCCTCTCAGATGACTCCTGCCTCTCTTTAGACTCTGAGATTACATGATGATGATGCTGCAGATAGATGGGAGCGAAGCTTCACAGTGCTGACTACCCAAGCATGCTGATGCCTTAACTGTGAATATAAAAACACACCAAAGTTGCTCAACACAACACAACACAAAGTCATCTCCAACCTGTCTATAGGTGCAACAGGATCATGAGAGGACTGTCTGTACAATTGCTCTCAGATTTAAAACAGTTTGTGCCGTGAAAAATAAACATCTCAAGTGCCTGCATGAGGGAGCTGCAATGATCCCAGATTGGTCTACATGCATAAAACACACAGATAACCAGGTTTCTCTGTGTTCATGTAAATGCAACATCCCAGCTATGACCAAAGCCTGGATGAGGTTCAAAACCAGGACACTCACTGTGTCCCTGCAGTGGGTTATTTTACCTCCAGAGGTTATCCGTATGCAGGAGGGCTCCCGGGGTTTATTATATGAAAAGTCAAAAGTACTCCAGTCCCATGAGGGATCCTGTGAGACAAGCCAGGACACAATACTGTTGACAAATATGATTTTAAGAAACTGTGAGACTTTATATGACAGGGAAATACATACGTCTGTTGAACAGCCTTTAACCCAAACATGTCCATTCATATGACCACCTCTCTGCAACACGACAGGAATATCTGCACCAAACCGTTCAACTGCAGCCACAAGTTTTCCCCCCTTGGACCGGCAGTTACTCTACAGTGACAGAGATGAGAAATTCAGGGCTCAAAAGGGGAGGGCAAATGAATACCAACAGAGAGGAAACCATCTCTGTCTAATTTGAAGAAAAAGAAAAAAAAATCTGCCTGATTACCTCTGCATCATCCCAGGTCATTTTCTCTTGAACATAAAGCAGACAACGAGAACTGAATGTCTGCCAGCCTACAGGACATGAGCCTCCAGCGGCCTGGTCTAACAAACAAACACAGCATAACTGCAGGATCATCTGTGTGGCAGACACGTTTTTTGATGATCTGAACACAGGTGGACACAGGAAAGGTAGAGTTGTAGGTATAACGATTTTTTTTCTATTAATTGGACAGTTTTGTTTGTCTATCTATCTGTCGGCTCTCACAATTGAACAAACAGATCTCAGAGGGTCCAAGTGAGCAGTTCCCTGAGGTCTTATCTTCCACCTGGTCCCCTCTGGGCTGTGTACCCTCTCCCCTTTTATGTTATGATTGAATGACTGCAAATGATGGGACTGATCTCTTCTCCAAATCAAATTTGTAATTCCAATTTTCGGTGGTTTTCAGGGTCTCTTCTGGCCTTCCCTCCTACCTCCCTTCTTCCTACTTTCCTTCCTTCTTCCTTTTTGTCCTTCCTTCCTTCCCTCCTTCTTTTCTTCATTCCTCCCTCCCTCCCCTCTTCCTTCCTTCCTCCCTTCCTTCATCTTCCTAACCATTCCTTCCACCCTCCTTCCCTTCTTCCTCTTTCCTTCCTCCTCTCCTTCCTTCCCCTTCCTTCCTTGCTTTCTTTCTTCCTTCCTTCCTTCTCTCCTTTCTTCCTTCTTTGCTCCCCTCTTTCTTTCTTTCTTTCTTTCTTTCTTTCTTTCTTTCTTTCTTTCTTTCTTTCTTTCTACAGGCTTTTTCAGAGTCAGCAGTGCCCCAGTACAGATATTTGGCCATTTTTCCTTGAAGCAGATCTTTATGTCGCTGTTTCTTTTTTTGTGTGTGATTCTTTCTAAAGTGACCAAGTTTGATGGGAGATCACACAAATCTTTCATTAGGTCTTTATTAAGTCTGTTACTACTTTAGCTGCTTTGCCAGCTTATTCTCTACCTGTGAATTTTAAAAAAGGAATGCAGTAGATTTTATCTGCATGCTAAATGAAAATAACCTCAAAACAAGTTTAGACAGAATTCACCGGGACAAGCCAAGCTTGTTCAGTTCAGTTTGACTCTGACTCTGACTCTGAGTGGTCATTCCATTATATGCTGCAGTAGAATAAAGAAAAGATGGATGGACGGATAGATGCAACAGGATGCAGCACATAAAAAATAAATAAATTAAAAAAAAAAACAACTTTGTTTTTATTAGTTTGTTTCCAGTTTGATAAAGAAAATAGACAAAGCAGAAGAATATTTTAAGGTTTCAACAAATTCACTTACCTTCTGGTATTTTTATAAAAGGCACACAGTTATTGAACAGTTTGAAACCAAAAATGTGGCTTTTATTCTCATGTTATTAGTCACATAATTTTGCAAAAACAAACTTTGAGCTCAAACAATAAAAACATTTTTTTTTCCTACCAAAGTTTAAAACAGAATTCAGACTCACCTTGACTGTAAGGAGGGTCATCACAACCTGTGTGCGAAATCTACTGTTCAGTCTGACAGTGTATGTCCTCCTGTATTTGTCAGGTTGTAAACTAATTCCTTGCTATAACACTAAACATAATAATACAACAAAAACACGATGGATGAGATAAAATATACGTTCTTCTGATTATTAAACCAATAAGCGATTTTTTGTTTCAAATCCAAAAGTAAATTGATATTCATACTTACCAGAATTATTTGGAATTAACACTAGACCTGTGTGACAGAGACATTATTATTCAGTTCTCTTCGTTATTATTATTATAATTATTATTATTATTATTATTATTATTATTATTATTATTGGAAATCTTAAAACAAACACTGAAGATGAATCAACAAGTCCTTTTCAAAAAAGAGTCAGATTGACACTGCAGGACAAGGCAAAATAATAATAATAATAATAAACTTTTATTTTCATTTAAATGTATTAACTATATTATTATTGTTTTCCTGAGCTTCAACAAAGGGATACATTTCTGTCAAATCTGAGGGTTTAAGGTGGAATCAAACCTACCTAGCACAGGTGGGGGTTTTCCTGCAACCAAATGAAATGGAGGTTGTTTATTGTTGAGTTTGACTTTGTGTATTCTCACCTCTCTAAGCTCTGATCATTACCGCTGAGACTTCAGGTCTATGAAAACAGGTCTGCTGAAGGACTTTAATGGACAACAGAGGCTGAGACAAAAGAGCATTGAGTAAAGACAAAGTCATCATGAACCCCTGGTATGGTCTCTACAGGTAATAAGTCCACAGTCCTGTTGGGGGTTCAGGTTGGTTTGGATTACCTTTTCCCCTTAAAGGGAACCTGCCATCAAAATTTCATACCCATTTTGATCATTTTTTCATAATCCTTGATGTCCTCTGATCCTGTTTGCAACATAATTTTAGCTGAAAAGTTATTTGATGGTTTGTTTTAGTATGCCTAAAAACCTTACAGGAAAACCAACTGGTTTTGGCTCATTAACATTTATGGTAATGAGCTTTGCTCTGATTGGATCGCTGCTGTGAAGCCTGCTGTGCTCTGATTGGCTCAGCAGTGGAGGTTCGGATTCCGGTTTATTAATTTTGCTAATGTGTGCTAAAGTAAGGTGCCCAGATGTCTGTAATGATATCCGGGGATATTCGGTGCGGCGGCGGCAGGGGCTGCAGGGGCTGTGTGATCACAGACAAAGTCTCGGTACTATTTAGTAGCAGTGCATGGCCCTTGTAATAACCCCCGTAAGAACTGTTGTTCAGGACTGCTTACTTGTGCTTCCTACCTATTCGGCTACTGTAATAACCGTTGTTCGAGCCCACATGCAACATTTTTGCTTTCATTCATGAAACGCTTAAATCGGGGACATTTTCGGGGACAGCTTTTGCCGGGGACAGGTCATCCAATACGGGGACTGTCCCTGGAAATCGGGGACGTCTGGTCACCTTATGCTAAAGGCTAAAAAATGGCAGGTATTAAACCATATATTTTAGACCCCGAGTTCGAAGAGGAGGTGGAAGTTGAAGAAGAAGCCGGAGATCTCCAGCGGTGTTTTCTCATTCATTCTGCCCATTTCAAGTTCCTTTTCCCGGCAGTGAACCGAAGGAAACACTGGTCGTTTGGAAGAGACCCATAGCGGATACAGCGGTAGCTGGGTCTCGCTCTGGCTGGAAAGTGATGTTGACTGTGAATGAGTACGAGAACGAGAGAGTGGGCGCGGCTCACCGAGGACGCGCTCGTGAATAATAATGAGCAAGGTCAGCGCAAGTCAGAGGGACCTGCTTTTTCAATTGGCCTGGTTTACCCATTCCTTTATTTTAAACCTTTACAGAATGCAAACGACGTAACGGTTTGTTTTCACATTTACAACGTAAGACGAACATAATATGGACCTTATCTGACACAAAAAACACACAAA